CAAATTGTCGTTGTTTTTATTGATGATATTCTAGCATATTCAAAGAGTTTCGAGGAACATGAGATACATTTGGAAAGAGTTCTACGGACGTTAAGAGAGCACGCACTATATGCTAAGTTTAGCAAGTGCGAATTTTGGCTGAATCAAGTTGCACTTCTCGAACATATAATTTTCGGAGAAGGAATCTCCATGGATCCAACAAAGATTGAGGCAGTAATGGATTGGCCGAGACCGACGACAGTTACTGAGGTTCGAAGCTTCCTAGGACTGGCAGGTTATTATCGGAGATTTGTGGAAAGATTCTCAGCGATAGCCACTCCATTAACGAGGTTGCTTAAGAAGGAAACTAAGTTTGAATGGACGGAAAAGTGAGAAGAGAGTTTTCAGGAATTGAAACAGAGATTGACAACGGCGCCAGTATTGACGATTCCTTCAGGACCGGGCGGGTGTGAGATTTATAGTGATGCTTCGCTTAGAGATTTGGGGTGCGTGTTAATGCAACATGGAAAGGTGCTTGCTTATGCATCGCGGCAGTTAAGGCCTCATGAGATGAACTACCCGACCCGCGACTTGGAACTAGCAGCAATTATTTTCGCGCTTAAAATTTGAAGGCATTATTTATGTGGAGAAAGGTTCCAGATTTACACGGACCATCAAGGTCTCAAGTACTTGTTTTCGCAAAAGGAGTTGAATATGAGGCAGAGGCGTTGGATGGAATTGTTGAAGGACTATGACTACGACATATTGTATCACCCCGGAAAGGCCAACTGGGTAGCAGATGCCTTAAGTCGGAAATCGAGCATCGCGTAATTGCTAGTTAAAGAGTGGACTTTATTAAAAGGAGCGTGGGACTCAAAATTTAAGTTCGAGGTAAGACACCTCTCCTGTCTGAGGGCAATATTAAGGATTGAGCCGGAAGTGCAAGCCAAGATCAAGGCGTTGTAGTCTGCGGACTTTGAGATTCAGAAAGTTTTGAGTATGGATAACTCTAAAAGAAAACCAGACTTTCAGGTGTCAGAGGATGGAATCCTTAGGTCTTGAGGACGATTGTGCGTGCCCGATAAATTGGAACTCAAGGAAGAGATTTTGTTGGAGGCTCATAGGAGCAGTTATAGTATTCACCCGGGCAACACTAAGATGTACCAGAATCCTCGCCAGCACTATTGGTGGAATGGAATGAAAGCGGATGTGGCCAGGCATGTGGCTAAGTGTTTGACATGCCAACAAGTGAAGGCACAGTATTGTAAACCTGGTGGGATGTTGTAGCCATTGGAAATCCCAAAATGGAAATGGGAGCACATTATAATGGATTTTGTAACGGGATTGCCAAGAAGCCAGAGGGGACACCACTCTATTTGGGTGATAGTAGATAGATTGGCCAAATCAGCGCACTTCCTGGCAGTGCGGAAGGACTTCGAGCTAGAAAGGCTGGCAGAGTATATGTGCGTCAAATAGTTCGTCTTCACGGAGTACCGGTATTAATCACATCGGACCGTGATCCCTGGTTCACCGCAAATTTTGGAAGAGTCTGCAATCAGCCATGGGAACTAAGCTCCAGTTCAGTACGGCTTATAATCCTCAGACGGTTGGCCAGTCTGAAAGGACTATTCAGACATGGGAAGATATGCTGAGGGCGTGTATGTTAGACTTTCAGGGCAAGTGGGAAGAACAGTTACATTTGGTGGGATTTGCCTACAATAATAGCTTCCAACAGAGTATCAGGATGGCACCGTTTGAGGCACTTCATGGCAGGGCGTGCAGAACACCATTGTGTTGGGATGAAGTGGGGGAAAGAAGTATAACGGGTCCAGAGTTTATTCAGCAATCGGTGGAAACAGTAAAGGTTATCCGGGAAAGGTTGAGAACTGCTCAGAGCCGTCAAAAGAACTATGTGGACCGGAGACGTAGGCCTTTGGAGTTTCAAGTAGGGGATCACGTTTCTCTCGAGGTATCGCCGATGAGAGGACTGTCTCGGTTTGACAAGAAAGGGAAACTAAGTCCAAGATATATAGACCCATATGAGATTTTGGAAAGGATTGGATCGTTAGCATACTGCCTAGCCTTACCACCGAAATTGTCACAAGTTCATAAAATCTTCCACGTGTCGACGTTAAGGAAGTATGAACCAGACCCGACCCATGAGCTGAATCATGAAGTAATGGACGTAGACGACAGGGTGTCGTACGTGGAAAAGGCAGTTAGGATCGAAGACAGAATAGAGAGAGTGTTGCGAAACAAGAAAATTTCGATAGTCAAGGTAATTTGGAATCACCATGGGACTGAAAGTGCAACGTGGGAAAGTGAGGAGCTGATGCGACACCAGTACCCCCATTTGTTTGGATAACTGGGTTGGATTGTAAATTTCGAGGACGAAATTTTTGTAAGGGGGGAAGAGTTGTGACATCCCGAATTTCGGCCCATTTTTGGGATTTATAAAATGCGTAAATTGTCAGTGTGCTTATAGTAAAATCTCGCCCGGGAACTGATCACTCCCGGTTATCATTTTAAATTAGAGATTTCGCTAGAATCGCACTCGATCAAATTTGGCCGTTATTTGGATCCCGAACTTGGCAGTCGATTTCCGGGAGTTTCGGGACAAATAAATTGGACGATGTCAATATTATGGTAACTAATGTTGAGATTGTCAGGAATGATGGAAAAATGGGAGTTTTTGACCACGTGCGAATTTGGACTAGTAGACCTCCCTCGTTATAATTTGGTCTAATTAATTTGGCCTTTGTCCCTTTTTATGTGCGAGGCTTATTTTGGACCGGTAGACCATTTTCGGTTTTTAATTTGGGCCATCGGATTGCAAATAATATTTGAATGTTCAAATATTTTCTTTTATTTCCTCTCTCTCTCCCTCCCTCCGACCCTCGCGCGCGTCTTCCCCCCCTCTCTCTGCAGACGTCCAACACCCACCCCCACCTACTCTCTCTCTCTCTCTTCTTTTCTTTTCTTTCTTTCTTTTTCCTTTCTTCCTCTGTTCTTCTTCTTCTTCCTCCTTCTTCGCCCGCGACCGGGTTCCGCTCCATTACGCCCGTCGCCGTCCGCTGCTCGGCCGCCCTCCGCCTCCGCCCGACGCCGCCCGCTCGCCGCCGCCCGCAAGCCCGACCGCCGTCGCGTTGACCACTAGCCGCCGCCCCGACCGTTCCCTTTCTCTCCTTCACGCGCGCGCACAGCAAGCCGTCGCAGCCCCCTTCGCTCGGCCTGGCCGCCGCGTGCCGTGCCGTCGCCGGCCAGCTCGACCGTGCGTCGCGCCGACCGTGGGCCGCCGTCCCCCTCTCCTCAGTCGATAGCCCTTCCACCCACAGCCATCACTCCCCCTCTCTTTCTCTTGTTTGGCCGTGGGGAGCACCTCACCGGAGGAGCCGCCATTGCCGCGTGTTCGGCTCGGTTTGAAGCTTAGGACACCCGGTGAGTTTGACCCTAAACCCTAATTAGGATTATTTGCATTTCTAGACGAGTTTAGGGGTTAAATTAGGGTAATTTAGGGGTTATTGTGCAAAGGATGGTAGGGGTTGATGTCACGGCTGATTTGGTGAATTATAGTGACCGTTTGATGAGGTTTCGCGGCTATGTAAGTGCCGAGAGATGGCTGGTCAGGTTTGGAATGGAATAGCCCAAGTTTGGGGAAGTTCGAGTCTAGAATGCGGATTCTAGTGCGCGCCTTAATTGGCATTATGGTGGTTGATTAAAATGGTATCTTGGGGAGTCTAATGGGACATTTTGAGGTTATTAAATGGCCCGGCACGATCGATTTAGTGGCTGTCCATATCGGGTTTGAATCGGACAAGGCGCGATCAATTTGGGGGTTAGTTTGTGTAGGCCGAGTAGTAGTTGTTTTTCGTAGCAAATTGGGGAGCCTAATGTGATGAATTGAAAGTGAATTGAGTGCTTAAGACGGACCGTTCATGGCTAGTTTAGTATCGGAAGGATTCGGGCCATAATTGTTTATTCGAGATTTTAGGGTGAACGGCTTAGGAAACGATGATCACCCGAGAGGATGCTAAATTAAACGTGACTTGAATGTGATTGTATGATGCCATGTCGCATGTCTAGCGGGACTAAGAATGGAATAGCTTGGCGGGCCTTGGGCTTATTAAATTGAATTGGAGTAAGTGTGGGGAATAAGTGCCGGTTTATTTGGGGCAAAAATGGAGTAGATTGAACATGCCGTTAATGCCTTGAAATTGTCAAATTTGTGAATAATTGTGTCTGGCATCTTGGCCTGGGAAATTGACTTTGGATTCTCGGGCATATGAATCGCATATCATGCCTTGCCATTAGCCGAAACTGAGTGCATTGGTATACATGACGGGCCAGTTGATAAACTGTGGCTTTCGGGTCGGGCCTTCGGGTCGGGATAAACTGTGGCCTTCGGGTCGGGATAAACTGTGGCCTTCGGGTCGGGCCTTCGGGTCAGGATAAACTGTGGCCTTCGGGTCGTGGCCTTCGGGTCGGAACAAACTGTGGCCTTCGGGTCGTGGCCTTCGGGTCGATTTACTCGCATATGTTTTATAATGATATTAAAAGTCTAACCTGCATGGCGGAGTAGTGAATTGGGCTATGGGCCCGAGTGAACTAATATTGATTGTTATACTGGTTCAGTGATTTATGTGTTTTATTTACCCTCTGGAGGTGCACGTTAGCCTAGTTTAGGTTTAGGGAATTACTCACTGAGATTATTCTCATTGTTGTTTAAACCACATTTTCAGACCCCAGCCTTGAGGATGGCAGGCGTACCGAAGTGTTTTGGGAGGAGCCCCGGCTAGTTGTAGTGGCCTTGAACTGCTTTTGATTTTTGAGCATGGGCTGTAGTTGAATATTGTGTCTGGTGCCCAGTATCAACGCAAGTGTAATTGTTCATGTTGTTTGCTGAGTGGCTATCCTTGGCCATTTGTTTCAAAACTGTTCGGGTATTGTATTGCTTCCGCGTGTGCTTTAATCTCTGTGTTGGGCGTTGGGTTGGCGACGTGTCCTGGGACGTCGCACTTGTAATGGACCTTGGAGGGATGTTCGCACGTCGTAGGATTCGGGGCGTGACATCGAGCCTCGCGGATCTTGACTTGTACAATCTGTCTCCAAACATTTCCTTGGCATTCAACATATCCCCCGGTTGGATTCCTCCCTTCAAGCTCAGGTACCTGAAAACCAGGTCTTGCCAATTGGGTCCCGAGTTTCCTACTTGGCTCAGGAACCAAAATGACCTCAAGACCGTGGTGTTGAACAATGCTAAAATTTCTGGAACCATACCCGATTGGTTCTTCCAGCTGAATCTGCAATTAGATGAGCTAGACGTCGGGGATAATCGACTCACCGGGGAGCCACCCACCTCACTGATGTTTGTAGATGACCAGTCCAATGTCGACTTGAGTTCGAACCTCTACGAAGGTCCACTTCCTATGTGGTCTTCCAACGTGACGACACTGTATCTCAATGATAATCGCTTCTCCGGTCCCATTCCTCCCAACATTGGTGAACTCATGCCTTACCTGACAGATTTAGACCTATCTCGGAACGACCTAAATGGTACCATTCCCTTGTCCATTGGGAATATGACCTCTTTGACAACCTTAGTCATCTCCAACAACTACCTATCTGGAGAAATACCGCGGTTCTGGAGCAACTTGTCCTTGCTGTTTATTCTCGACATGTCGAACAATAGCCTTTCGGGTCCAATACCGAGTGAGGTCGGCTTTCTTTCCTCTCTCTAGTTCTTCATACTCAGTAACAACAATCTCTCTGGCAAACTTCCGTCCTCCTTGCGGAACTGCAGCTCTTTGGACAGTCTTGATCTAGGCGAGAACAAGTTCTTGGGAAACATTCCAGCATGGATTGCAGAGAGCATTCCTTCGTTGCTGATTTTGCGCCTGCGGTCCAATTCGTTTACTGGGGAAATTCCTCCTCAGATATGCCAGCTTTCGAATCTCCACCTAGTAGACCTCTCGCACAACAGGTTGTCAGGATCGATCCCGCCGTGCATCGGAAACTTAACTGGCTTGAAAGTGGAGCTCACGGATGCTGACACAGAGAGGTACCAGGGACGCTTGACCGTGGTGGCCAAAGGACGGTTTGTTCAATATGATCAAAGCATTCTTTACCTCGTCAACAGTTTGGATCTCTCGGACAACCCGGGAGACGAGAAACAGCAACAATCTCCCGACAATGGCGGCAGAAACGGCGAGAGCGAAGATGGAGGCGATGATCTCGAATACTTCTGGCTCATCCTGAGCATTGGGCTCGGTTTCTTTGTCGGGTTCTGGGGCGTCTGCGGCACTTTGATCATAAAGAAGTCATGGAGAGAGGCTTATTACGGTTACGTCGACAGAATGAAGAACAAGCTAGCTGCACTCATCGCATGTCGGATGGACTAGTATGCAAGCATGTTAGGATTTGATTCGATGCTTGCGTAGATCTGTCTTTTATATCCTATCGTTAGACATCTTATGAATGTAACAGCTATTTACAAGTATGCATAGGGAACATACTATACTTGTTTCCGGTAGTGTCAATAAAATGAGTTTTGGGCAGTAAGAGAAAGACTGAATTCTATGCGAATTTGATAATGACACAAATAGTCTTTGAATTTTGGCTCAATGTACAATATGGTTCCCGAACTTTTAATATGCTAAATGTGGTCTTTGAACTTTTAGTACGTGTTCAAAATAGTTCCTGCACTATATGAAAATATTCAATATTTTCATGGACTAGTTTGAATATGTATCAAAAAGTTTGGGGACCACAATGAACAAATTAAAAGTTTAGAGACCAATTTGCATATTGCAAAAGAAATTGGTCGGCTCTTCAAGCTGTATATTGAGGTCTAAAAGTAGGCCTTATATCCAAACTATTTCACAAACGGCTTTGGCCATTGAGGTCTAAAAGTAGGCTTCGAAGACACGATAACCCTTTTGAAGGGTTGGATATCCCATGAAAATGCATCGACGAGCGCAGGAACTCATTTTGTCTCGAGGGCCCATGGTTTTTAGTCCATCAACCCTTTCGAGGTTTATGATGTATGCAATAGGTCTCTGACAATATGGCGGCTATCTGCAGCACTGTAGTGTGTAGTTCTGCTATCAAGTGTTATAGTTATGTGCTCTTCTGTATAGAAAGGAAGGTCTAAGCCTTTATATTGTAATTTTATATGTTTTTTTGGTAATAAATGTTGGGAAGTATGACATCTAGAAATTAGATAGCGTAGTGCAACTGTCGCATTTTGTAGGGGACCTTGTCAAAGTCCTCACATCATTTTTCACTATCGTGGGGGTCGGCCTCTGGTCAAGAAGCCACTCAGGTTTGGAAGAGCGTGCTTGGATACGTAGTCTTTTGAATGTCGTCTTCAGAAGTCTTTTCTTCATTGCGATTTCGAGGAACGTCTCCTCTCTGTCCTGAAGAAGAGTTCTTTGATTGAGCTCTCACCACTTCACTTTACAACAAAGTACTCGCCTAGGCAGGCAAAAGAAATTGTCATCGTGAATGGTTTAGAGCAAGGGTGCGTTTGGTTCAGTATTTTGAAACTCTTTGAGGCCTAAAAGGCCCTCGGAGAAAATTTGAAGTATTTGGCAACCATTCCTCAAGGGCTTTGGGGGTGAAAACTAGCTTGGGAAGGCTGAAAGCTCAATGCTGGTCCCTACTAGCATTGATGAATTAATGAAAATTTGTCAGTTCCCTGTTTTGCCCTGAAAAAACTTATTAAAAGTCCAAGGTCAATCCCCTTCAAAGAGCCTGACGTGTGTTGACCTCCATCACTTCCTTGTCCAACGCTATCGACTAGTTACAATCGCGTTCGGCTGTTCCTCTTCTCGCTCCTATTATGTAGACCAAGAAACGACACGGACAAGCAAGCGTATCCTGGAGATGCATATACGTGTGCACGTGTGCGATATATGCCATCAGCAACAGCTGCGGAGCTGTGACGGCGTGGGGGAGAGAGAGAGAGAGAGAGAGCTTGTTGGAGGAGACCGGGTTCTCGTTCGTGGGTTGCAAGGTGACAGGGTCGGGCTCGTTGTTCCTTGGCCAAGCGTGGGGCACTTTCTCCCAGGTGGTCTTCGCGTACAACTACATGGATCGGATTATCACCATGGAGAGAGTTAGGGGCAATCGATTCCCGGTCCGGTCCGGTCTAATGGAACCGATCACTTAAGGTTTAGTTTTTTTTTTTTATCAAACACTTAAGGTTTAGTTCACATCTTACTAATTTTTGTCAATGAAATTCACTTAGGGTTTAGTTTACATTTTACTAATTTTTGTCAATGAAATTATATCAATGAAGTTCACATAGGGTTTAGTTCATATTTTACTAATTTTTGTCGATGAAGTTCACTTAGAGTTTAGTTTTTTTTTTGTTCGGAACTTAGGATTCACTTCACATTTAACTAATTTTTTTTAAAAAATTAAAATATATATAGTCGGTCCGGTCCGGTTCCCCCGTGGAACCGGGAACCGGACCACTTGGACACCGGTTTCACTTTTAGAAATCGGGAACTGAACCGACATTCCCAAGAAGTGGACCAAATCGGCCAATTCGCTCCGATCTGGGCAGTTTTCGATCCGAATGGTCCGTTTTGCACACCCTTAGAGAGCATCGGAGTCGCTTGCGAGACTGGCTCGTCCATGGCTGGTGACGCTGTTGTCCATAGCCTCAAAAAGCAACAAGAAATACAATAGAGGCAGCTTGTCGATGGTTCATGCTTGCTGGAGACTGGATGCTCAAAAAGCATAAATAAATAAAATAAAACAGAGGCAGGTTGACGGAGGTCCACGGCTGCGGGCGGTGTGCGTGGTCTAGATAGATTTTTAATTTTGTTTACATTTATCCATGTCATTGCCATGTGTCAATTTATGATCGGATTTCACCAAAAAATGCATATCACGTGATACTTTGCAATTATTGAATACTTTCTCCCAGAAAATAGACTATTCACAGTCCAAAATGGGCTGTTCATGGTTTGAGTTGCAGTCCGCGCGCTCGAAGCTTTCGACCCCGTTTCTTCCTAATTGTGATGTCAAATCGCATGAAATTAGTGGCTTTTGAACCATAACTCTCCCGACCAAAAAAAAAAAAAATCATAACTCGACCCGGACTGAAAAGAAAAAATCATAACTTGACAATGGATCAAAATGCGCACACGGTTCTATCAGAGTCTCTCTAGAAAAATCACAGTACTTGACCAAAGGTTCTGCTTCTCCAAGAGCCGACTTAATAGCCACAAAACTCAAAAAAATTGTGATGTCGGAATCTTACCCAACGAATTTGCACGGTGTTTCTTGATAACTATTGATCCAAACACTATCGCTTTCTTCTTTCTTTTTACCTTTTTTCTTATGATCCTAAATGTGAAGTGCGTAATTAATAATGACTTTTACATATTAAGATGGAAAAGTTTAAATCAAACTATGTTTGAGTTACAGTTTGATTTACTTCCCGTGAATGGTTAGTAATCTAGGATAGGCAGATAAACAAATAATTATCATAGATAAGACAACAGGGTCCGGAAATAGAAGACATTCATACACATATGAGTGATCAAGTTGTTTTATTTACTATTACTAGTTAAGAAAAGCGCACACGAAACACGCATGCACGACCATACACACATATCACCATAGTCACTTCCGTGAAGGCAATTGCTCTGCAATTGCTCTTATTGCATATGTAACTGCTTGTGATCACTCCCGCTAACGCACGGGCTTGATCACAACGCCCCCGATGATGAGCCCTTTCTTCGGATTTTCGAACGATTGCCACATGGCAAAAGTCACAGTACCCACATTTTGCTTCGTCTTCTCAAACTCTCCGACCTCCAGTTCCTCCCATATATCTGTCGATGTGGGCAACTGCGCCTGCTGCGGTTGGACCCACAGCGCCTGCTTCGTTTGGTCGATCCCCAGGAGAGACTGTGTCAGTTTCACATTCACCATCGCCCCCCTTAAGGTGCTGTCTCGCGTCATCTTCACCAGAAACGAGACTCTGTACTTTCCCCCACACTTAAGTTTCTTTGTGTCAAACGACCCTCTGGCATCTAGCTCTGTCTCCGCCACCATTTCTGCCACTTCTACCTTTTCGAGGCGGATGCTGAAGTAGTTTTATTTAAATGTTATTGATCAGGATAATTATTACGTTGACTGTAAGCGTAATTTTTTTTTTTCATAATTGGACGAGTGACGTGTAAATAAAATTCGGTTACACAATTATAAATGTATGGAAAGTTCTTTACATTGATAGTAGACCTGATAAATTTTTTTATTATAACTATATAGAGATCTATATTAGACAAACTCTGTAAGTCAAGGGTAACCGGAGAACAAAAGTATAAAGCATATTGAAAATTATATATATATACATATTGAAAATTATATATATATATAAACTTGACCGTAAGAAGGTAAGTTTGCAATTTTCCATACACTCTTTTTCTTTGTTATGAGTAATCAATACTTAGAAAAATTAAAGTATTCCATACTAAGTACGTCTAGCAAGTGCCTCGGGACATTCATTAACGAGACTTGTTTTTATTAATTATGGTTAGACAAAAAAATTTTAAAACAAAAGTCAACTTGGAGGACACTTTGATTAGGTATATTTATTATGAAATTATGAATTACTGGAACAGCAAAGCAAATGATTTTACTTCAAATGATAAATAGGAATAACAGCTAAGTCAGTATCTATCACTCCGTAAAAATACAAGGATATCTCATGGAATAATGCGTATTCTTAAAGAAGCTCAACGGGCTTTTCTTCCTATTTACCTCTCAATCTCCTCTTCCTCCTTTATCATTATTCTTAATTTGGCTGACTATACATATATGTGAGTATGTGTATTTATTTATTTATTCACCAAAGACGAAATAGCATCTCTACTCTCTCCGTAGTTTTCCCAACCACCGTAAAGCCCACTACCCCTAGAAACCCATCATACTCTCTCCTTATTTATCATCAACTCATAAATTAAAAAAAAATTATAATGAAAAGAAGAAAATATGGGAAAAGCTCAAGTACATTACAATTTGATAAATTATAACTCGGTTAAATTTGATCAATTAAGTGAAAAGGACAAAAGAGAACACTACAACTACAATATTATGACCATAAATTGAAGTAAATAGTACCATTAAAATTTAAAAAGACTAGAGAGATTAAAAAATTTTGATTTTCTAATTTTTAAACAAATCAAATAGGTCATAGTATATAGTTCTTAGCAGATAATGAACTCACTAACTTTGACAGCAATGTTTGAAGATGAAGCTGAACTTTTATTCATTAATGTCATCTTGTGCTCTTAATTTAATTGGCCTATCGCGACCTTATGAAGGCAAAAATGAAAATTTAGATACCAAGACCGAAGAACGGTTCCTGCTTTGCTAGGGA